AAAAAAATGAAAGGGGAGATTGATGGTTTGAAACATCAAGTAGAGAAATTACAAACGGACAAAGATTTCATCCAATTTAAAATGGACATGCTAATAAACGAACATCGCTATAATAACATAATAATGTACAACTACCCAAACTACAAAACCATTTCAAGAGCAGAAATATTAAAATTTATTACTAATGTATTAAATATAAATAATAAAACTCAAGACTAGAGATAGTTCTATCTCTAGTCTTAGATAACTAGAGATAACTAGAGGTAGTTCAACTATCGAAAACGCCAAATTTAACAACAAGAATAACATTTAATAATAATCAAACTAGAGATCTTATTTTTTCTACCTTCATACGAAAAAATACAACTAAAGTCTACTAGAGGGATGGCAAAATAACAGATTTCTCAGGATTTAACTAACAACTCGAGAAATAGAAGGAAACATTTACTGCCAAATTTTTATGAATTACGTAAACAAAACCCTCAGATAAAACTACGAAATGGCATCTTAATAATTGATCGCGAAAAGCTAACTTATAATTTAAACACGGGAAAACTGGTGCATATAGATACTTTTCTTCCATCAACAAGAATAGCAAATTTAACTAAATGACATATTAATAAGCAAGATAAAACTCAATCCTGCAAACTCTACCCTAATAATCAATGCCTCTCAATTATAAACTGGAATAGTCAAGGACTTAAATATAAAATACTTCAAATAGATGCCTTTATTTCTAAATATGATCCGGATATTATTGCAATCACTGAAACCTGGATATGTTCCGAAATAGTCTACAATTCTACCTTCTTTTAAAAATTTACAATAGAGTCAGTTTTGACAAAAAAACTAATAGGTCCAGGCTGCCCAAGTGGAGGCCTTTGCATACTAATAAAAAAAGGTCTTTTTTTTTTTGTAAAATTTTGCAAAGAAAAAAATCTAATAATTTCATTCTGCTCCTTGTCTGAATCATTAAATCTGCTCTTGCTAATATTACAAATAATTTAATAACTTTAATGCTTACCTATATTTCACCTGATGACATAATAACTTTGAATGAAATAACTAAACAAATGGAGATCTGGCAAAATATGATTCCTTATTCCATAATTTTGGGCAATTTCAATGCAAGAATTGCAGATAATATGGACTCTAAATATAAAGGTAATAATTTTTTAATGCAAATCAACTGCCTCTCGAGGGATGAGCATTTAAACAGACTTGGTTAATAATTAATCGAAATATATGTACTGGTAGCTCATCTCTAGACTTCAAAAATAACTTTAAAAATTCAACAGAAAATAATGCTTATAGAATTTATAATTTTTTGTCAAATACACTGAAAAAAATTTCTTTGTAGTATTTAATTATTTGATTTACATTGTTGTTTTAAATTACTGATAATGTATCATTAAGTTACTTTATGTTTGTATTGACTAAATTCATCAAATAACGTTATTGTTATTTAAGTGGTCTTGCGAAACCATGTTATGTTATAATTAATACACTTATTTGTAAAATGTATATTAATCATGTAGACCGAAATAATATTTATTGTGAAATTTGTATTCCCCCTAATAGGGAAAAATCTCCCTTGGAAATAAAATATAATAATAATATTTTTAATTATTAAAAAAAATATCTTGAATTAAATGAAAGATTTTCTTTGTTTAATTAATATAAAAAATAAATATATCATTTTATATTTATGAATGATAAGTAATATTTAATTGATATTTACAAAATATCAAACTTATACTATTGATTTATCATAAATACATATTGATAAATGATTGATAATATGCATGAACAATAAATATATTTCTATACATCATTTTATCTTTATTTACTTTGAAATTTATTGTATTGTTACTTTAATATCTATAACATATATAACTGTATACAATGTTATGTTCTGGTTTCTTTTTTTAAAACTGTTTTGGATAATCAAGTTTCTGCTGTATATTTAATTTGAAATAGTAATTATTACATAAAATAATTTACAAATAGTAAAATTTTATAAAACAGCAGATAAAATGAATACAGTAAATCCTTGCTAACTAAGACCATTCCATTTTGAAATTTGCATAACAGACAAAATTTTTAAAAAAATTGCAAATTAAAATTTCTTGACAATAGAAAAATTACAATTCATAAGTAATTACAATGAAATTATAATTTTGTCAAATTCATCCAGATGGTAATATCATATTAATTAATTAAGACCGAATGCAAAGTTTATCAAAACATCCATCTTTTTAAAGGTGATCAATCACTAACAGGAAATGAATATTAATAATAACTGTTTTGATAACTTTGTCTTCAATCTTAATATGAAATTATAATTAATGAGTGTTTTCAATATTCAAAAGTTTGCAATACCATGCTTTGTATTATTGTAGTAAGTTCTAAAGACTGTAGATTGCTGTATACTTTCATGAAATTTTTTGAGCTCATTTTCTGTATATAACAAATTTAGTAGTGTAACTTACTAATGACTAGTAAAGCTTCTATATAGAGCTGGATTGTAATAAATTACTTACTATATATCTGTATCTTCAGGGAAAACACACACTAACTTGGACAACCTTCACCACCTATTAGTCCAAGTTAGTGGAAATTTATTGTAATTATAAAATATCAAAAACACAATGATTACCTTCTTCTAATAAACTTTGTCTTCTGTTTTTATCTTCTAATTTGTTAGGAAGAGATGATGATAATGACAAGGAATTTGAACTTGTTTCAACTATACTTTCCTTCTTTTGAGAATGCTGAGATAAACCTGGGATATCTGACTTAGATCTTGTATGTTGAGCTTTCCATTTTGGTGTTTTTGTACTTGGTAAACTAGATTTTGAAATATCCGGTGATAACTTACATTCTTTGATTTCTTTATTTTGTGATAATTCTTGCTGTAAACTTGTTTCATTTTCATTTTTATGTATCTGCAGATTCCTACTGAAAATGTTTTTATTTTCTATAAAATATTCATTTCCATCTGAAACAGATTTATATAACACTGGAAGAGAGCTGCATTTTTGTTGTAAATTGTTTGATTTAAAATTTTGTGTATGTTTCACATTAACTTTAGCTGGCAAGTAATAATCATGTAATTCAGGACAACTTCTGCTTCTAACTAAACAATTATAATTATGATAAAATTTGCAATCTTCAAGTAATTTTCCAGAACATAATAATTTATTGTGCAAATCTAATGAACTAGAGGGAGAAATTGTAGCATATAAGTTCTGTTTAACATGAGCATTATCACAATCACTTTCACTATAATTAAATTCTTTGTTGAATACTTCCGTATTCTGAGTTTCACTTCCATTTGTTTCTGTACAGGATGAATTTTTATCACAGCTGCAAGGTTCCAGAATTTTATTTTGCAAATCACAGTTTTGTTCTTGGGTAGAAATGTATTGAAAATCAGGTAAATCACAGAATCCAACTTTCATTGTTTTGGAATGTTCTATTAATTTTTTCTTTTTCCTCCCATTATGCAATAATCTAGTATAGTAACAGGAATTGGACACATTTAAGTTACTTAACTTTTCACAGGTGTCATTTATTTTCACATCATTTAAATTAAGCTGTTTTGGTTCTGACTTTTTCTTCACAACCTGATTGCATAAAAAAAACTAATTTTAAACTAAAAGTATAATTTTTCTGCATATTATAAACTTATATTTAATCTTGCATAATTTAATGATTCTATAACAAATTTTTAAATTTAAAATTATAAAGTTAATGGAAAATTATAACTAGCTGAATTTTATATAATTTAATTTATAGCAAAATAATAAGTCATTAACTGAACAAATCACATTAAGCAGTTCTTTATACTTTGATAAAATATTTATCTACAAATAGTTTTGATACAGAATAGTTAAAGAAACAATAAGTAAATTTATGATCCACAGAGCATTAAATTTTGTTCCAAAAATTCATAATTTTTCTCCTAGATAATACAACTTAAAAAAAATAAACTTACTGAATTTTATATTAAAAAACTGTTAAGAAAATAGTATAAATATCAATTTTTTAAATCTTATTTCCAAAACTATATTATTTAATAATGACTAAAAAAACTGATAAGACATTTAAGCTACAAAGAAAGATTTATTATATAACATTATATAGAATTTATTAACTTAAAATTTATAAAAACTACAGGAATGCATCAGTTTGTAAATTTTTTTTTTTTTTTATTGATCTGAGCTTTAAAAACATTTTTAAGAGATACTTTTAAAAATGTTTGTTTAAAAATTTTGCTATTAAAAAATTTAAAATATAGTTACATAACAGTAAACAATTAAACATTGTAAACTTGGCCTTCATCAAAATTTATACACTGAAACCTCCATTAACAGAGACTCCTGAATAGTGGATACTTCTATTTAATAGACATTTTTATAATCCCCAGATCCTTCAAATAGGACATCTATTATATTTCTCTCTAAATAACGGATGCCCTCATCCATAACCAACCTTACAAAAATGCAATGTCCCACCTTCAATACTCCAAATGAATTAATTACATACAAAATATTTTAAAACGAAAACAAAGAATCGGTTAAAATACTCTTTCAGGTAACAAATTTTGACTGTAGGCATTGAATAAAGACTGGCTTAAAATAGGAATAGAGGAGGAAGGGGCAAGTTATAAGAAGCTGAACAATATTCTTAACCAGATTAAATTTTTCTAACAGATAAAGTCGTCAATCACCATTTATCATTATACATATTAATGCTATTAAACTTCTGTCTTATTGTTGGAATTATGCTTATGATATCAAAAAACTAAATGTTTTCAAAGTTATTCATTCAACAAGAATGTAATTTTTAATAAAGCAGTTACAGAAAGAAAGCAAAAATGTTCAAGAAGTTACATCTATTTGATAACTGCAAAGCAGACAAATCCCTGTATCGATTTTTATTAGTCGCTTATATCATAAACAACGTTATAAATGTAACAATTCTGAATATATTTCCCACCCTTTCAAGTGGATAGCAAATCACCTTTGTAACTTGACATTTGAATGAGGTTTAACCCTTTAAAATCAACATCCCGAAAAACCTCGGGCAAGTTCCATAGAGTTTCATAAAACTCGGTACTTTCGGCCCTTTCCCAAAATTTTTTTTTTTNTAAGACTCTGACCTTCTTGAGGTCTAGGAAAAAAGCATTCTGTAGGAACTCCTACTTGACAACCTTTATATGAAATTATATATAAATGTAAATATTTCAGAATTTTTTAAACAAAAAGTATTATATGAATTTAATTATTTACAAAATATAACAAAAGTTAATGGTATATAATATTTTATTACTATTACAGAAATACAAACAGTCAAACTCCGAGTTTCGAACAATTCAGTTAATGAACAAAACTTTGAACTCTTTTTTACTCTAGTTGCCTTATGAGAACTCATAAAATTTAAATATGATATATTATACTGATCTAAATCTAATAATCATTATGTAAAGTTACACTTATGATTTAAAATTAAGTGAGAACATTAAGTCAAAGGACTGAGAAACATAAGAGAAAAGATTAAGATTTTGCAACAGTTATTGTGATTTTTGATCATTAACACACTGACAAGAGTGAAATCTTTATTAATACTAATGTTAAATTTTTATTAATAATATGAATTTTATGGTTTTGGTCCAAACATGTCAAGTGATAAATTGATGTCATTTACAATCAAAATGAGAATCAGTGTTTGAAAAAAGTAGAATTTAAATCTAGTAATCAATTATAAATAAACGACAAACTAAAAGATTTTATTATAATTTTCAGAATATATTTTAAAAAATTAACTTAATACAGATTAGCAAAGAATCTAAATAACTTAAATATATCATTTTATGGGGGGCGTGTTCATCCGTTGAGGCTGTTGGCGTGTTTTTCTTTATACCTGGCCACTCATACTAGAATAAGAATTAAGTGTTTTTTTGATTATTTTCTACTACAAGAAGCCTAATTTTGTTATTAATTAATACTATTTATATTGGTAATAACAAGAATAATTATGCAATGTTCTCCAGTCAAGAGGGATAGACCTCCATTGAATCGTACTAAATTGGATACTAAGAAGAATCAGCCATCTTCTTCAAATTCCANTCGTTTAATTATTATAATTGCTGTAGTTGACTATTCAACAAATTATAGTAGTTGATATTGCATCGATATACAAAGGCGAGTTAATTAAAATATAATTATTTAATACAGTATTTGAAAAATTATCGTAGAAAAGTTTTCTTTAAATTCAATAATAATATTATTGTAGGAATATATTATTGTATATTCTTTATTATGTTATTCTGTTCTATTCTATATTATTATTGTTGTATATTCTTTTCTTAATGTGTTAATATTATATGCATTTTAAACACACTTATTAATGATGAATCAGATACAAATGGATTTTTTTTCATAGAAAACTTATTATGTAGAATATGTTTTTTATGCAAGCAAAGAAAAAAAATGCTTAAAACTATTCTCTTGCAATAAAAAATGTAAAGAATTCCATAAACAACAAACGATTCGACTATTGAGCAAAGGAGTGGTTATATTTCAGTATAAAGTTTTCCTATCCATTATTTATTTACTACGAAAGTTAGACGACTAAATTCAAATTAGATTTATTTAATAATCTTTCCTGTATTGAGGGGGGCGTGTTCATCCGTCGAGGCTGTTGGCGTATTTTTCTTTATACCTGGCCACTCATACTAGAATAAGAATTAAGTGTTTTTTTATTATTTGCTACTACAAGAAGCCTAATTTTGTTATTAATTAATACTATTTATAACAGTAATAACAAGAATAATTATGCAACGTTCTCCAGTCAAGAAGGGTAGACCTCCATTGAATTGTACTAAATTGGATACTAAGAAAGATCAGCCATTTTCTTCAAATTCCAGGTCGTTAATAGACTTTAACTTCACTTCCAAAAAAGTCTTCATGAAGAATCCATTAGCGATAAGAATTAGAATCCAAATTAATCACAGATTAATGAAAATGACAAATCAGGTGAGCCAACTATTTCTGATCAAACCTCGATTAATGTAACGGATAAATTCCTAGACTCTTATACTTCAGTGCTTTGGAATAAAATATCGGAATTAATCAACCCTACTAACAATAAACTTTTTAATCAAACGGTTGTGATTAAAGAAGAACTAGATATTATCCACAAAAATATTCGAGAAACAAAGAAAAATCAGAAAAAAATGAAAGGGGAGATTGATGGTTTGAAGCATTAAGTAGAGAAATTACAAACGGACAAAGATTTCATCCAATTTAAAATGGACATGCTAATAAATGAACATTGTTATAATAACATAATAATATACTGTACAACTACCCAAACTATAAAACCACTTCAAGAGCAGAAATATTAAAATTTATTACTAATGTATTAAATATATATAATATAACTCAAGACAATATACTAGAGATAGTTCGGCTATCAAAAACGCCAAATTTAACAACAAGAATAACATTTAATAATAATAAAACTAGAGATCTTATTTTTCTACCTTCATACGAAAAAAACAACAAAGTCTACTAGAGGAATGACAAAACATACAGATTTCTCTGGAAGTTTTGGCAATAAACCAATAGGTCCAGGCCGCCCAAGTGGAAGCCTTTGCATATTAATAAAAAAAAAAAAAAATCTAATAATCTCATTCTGCTCCTTGTTCAAATCATTAAATCTGCTCTTGCTAATATTACGAATAATTTAATAACTTTAATGCTTACCTATATTTCACCTGATGACATAATAACTTTGAATGAAATAACTAAACAAATGGAGATCTGGCAAAATATGATTCCTTATTCCATAATTTTGGGCAATTTCAATGCAAGAATTGCAGATAATATGGACTCTAAATATAAAGGTAATAATTTTTTAATGCAAATCAACTGCCTCTCGAGGGATGAGCATTTAAACAGACTTGGTTAATAATTAATCGAAATATATGTACTGGTAGCTCATCTCTAGACTTCAAAAATAACTTTAAAAATTCAACAGAAAATAATGCTTATAGAATTTATAATTTTTTGTCAAATACACTGAAAAAAATTTCTTTGTAGTATTTAATTATTTGATTTACATTGTTGTTTTAAATTACTGATAATGTATCATTAAGTTACTTTATGTTTGTATTGACTAAATTCATCAAATAACGTTATTGTTATTTAAGTGGTCTTGCGAAACCATGTTATGTTATAATTAATACACTTATTTGTAAAATGTATATTAATCATGTAGACCGAAATAATATTTATTGTGAAATTTGTATTCCCCCTAATAGGGAAAAATCCCCTTGGAAATAAAATATAATAATAATATTTTTAATTATTAAAAAAAATATCTTGAATTAAATGAAAGATTTTCTTTGTTTAATTAATATAAAAAATAAATATATCATTTTATATTTATGAATGATAAGTAATATTTAATTGATATTTACAAAATATCAAACTTATACTATTGATTTATCATAAATACATATTGATAAATGATTGATAATATGCATGAACAATAAATATATTTCTATACATCATTTTATCTTTATTTACTTTGAAATTTATTGTATTGTTACTTTAATATCTATAACATATATAACTGTATACAATGTTATGTTCTGGTTTCTTTTTTTAAAACTGTTTTGGATAATCAAGTTTCTGCTGTATATTTAATTTGAAATAGTAATTATTACATAAAATAATTTACAAATAGTAAAATTTTATAAAACAGCAGATAAAATGAATACAGTAAATCCTTGCTAACTAAGACCATTCCATTTTGAAATTTGCATAACAGACAAAATTTTTAAAAAAATTGCAAATTAAAATTTCTTGACAATAGAAAAATTACAATTCATAAGTAATTACAATGAAATTATAATTTTGTCAAATTCATCCAGATGGTAATATCATATTAATTAATTAAGACCGAATGCAAAGTTTATCAAAACATCCATCTTTTTAAAGGTGATCAATCACTAACAGGAAATGAATATTAATAATAACTGTTTTGATAACTTTGTCTTCAATCTTAATATGAAATTATAATTAATGAGTGTTTTCAATATTCAAAAGTTTGCAATACCATGCTTTGTATTATTGTAGTAAGTTCTAAAGACTGTAGATTGCTGTATACTTTCATGAAATTTTTTGAGCTCATTTTCTGTATATAACAAATTTAGTAGTGTAACTTACTAATGACTAGTAAAGCTTCTATATAGAGCTGGATTGTAATAAATTACTTACTATATATCTGTATCTTCAGGGAAAACACACACTAACTTGGACAACCTTCACCACCTATTAGTCCAAGTTAGTGGAAATTTATTGTAATTATAAAATATCAAAAACACAATGATTACCTTCTTCTAATAAACTTTGTCTTCTGTTTTTATCTTCTAATTTGTTAGGAAGAGATGATGATAATGACAAGGAATTTGAACTTGTTTCAACTATACTTTCCTTCTTTTGAGAATGCTGAGATAAACCTGGGATATCTGACTTAGATCTTGTATGTTGAGCTTTCCATTTTGGTGTTTTTGTACTTGGTAAACTAGATTTTGAAATATCCGGTGATAACTTACATTCTTTGATTTCTTTATTTTGTGATAATTCTTGCTGTAAACTTGTTTCATTTTCATTTTTATGTATCTGCAGATTCCTACTGAAAATGTTTTTATTTTCTATAAAATATTCATTTCCATCTGAAACAGATTTATATAACACTGGAAGAGAGCTGCATTTTTGTTGTAAATTGTTTGATTTAAAATTTTGTGTATGTTTCACATTAACTTTAGCTGGCAAGTAATAATCATGTAATTCAGGACAACTTCTGCTTCTAACTAAACAATTATAATTATGATAAAATTTGCAATCTTCAAGTAATTTTCCAGAACATAATAATTTATTGTGCAAATCTAATGAACTAGAGGGAGAAATTGTAGCATATAAGTTCTGTTTAACATGAGCATTATCACAATCACTTTCACTATAATTAAATTCTTTGTTGAATACTTCCGTATTCTGAGTTTCACTTCCATTTGTTTCTGTACAGGATGAATTTTTATCACAGCTGCAATGTTCCAGAATTTTATTTTGCAAATCACAGTTTTGTTCTTGGGTAGAAATGTATTGAAAATCAGGTAAATCACAGAATCCAACTTTCATTGTTTTGGAATGTTCTATTAATTTTTTCTTTTTCCTCCCATTATGCAATAATCTAGTATAGTAACAGGAATTGGACACATTTAAGTTACTTAACTTTTCACAGGTGTCATTTATTTTCACATCATTTAAATTAAGCTGTTTTGGTTCTGACTTTTTCTTCACAACCTGATTGCATAAAAAAAACTAATTTTAAACTAAAAGTATAATTTTTCTGCATATTATAAACTTATATTTAATCTTGCATAATTTAATGATTCTATAACAAATTTTTAAATTTAAAATTATAAAGTTAATGGAAAATTATAACTAGCTGAATTTTATATAATTTAATTTATAGCAAAATAATAAGTCATTAACTGAACAAATCACATTAAGCAGTTCTTTATACTTTGATAAAATATTTATCTACAAATAGTTTTGATACAGAATAGTTAAAGAAACAATAAGTAAATTTATGATCCACAGAGCATTAAATTTTGTTCCAAAAATTCATAATTTTTCTCCTAGATAATACAACTTAAAAAAAATAAACTTACTGAATTTTATATTAAAAAACTGTTAAGAAAATAGTATAAATATCAATTTTTTAAATCTTATTTCCAAAACTATATTATTTAATAATGACTAAAAAAACTGATAAGACATTTAAGCTACAAAGAAAGATTTATTATATAACATTATATAGAATTTATTAACTTAAAATTTATAAAAACTACAGGAATGCATCAGTTTGTAAATTTTTTTTTTTTTATTGATCTGAGCTTTAAAAACATTTTTAAGAGATACTTTTAAAAATGTTTGTTTAAAAATTTTGCTATTAAAAAATTTAAAATATAGTTACATAACAGTAAACAATTAAACATTGTAAACTTGGCCTTCATCAAAATTTATACACTGAAACCTCCATTAACAGAGACTCCTGAATAGTGGATACTTCTATTTAATAGACATTTTTATAATCCCCAGATCCTTCAAATAGGACATCTATTATATTTCTCTCTAAATAACGGATGCCCTCATCCATAACCAACCTTACAAAAATGCAATGTCCCACCTTCAATACTCCAAATGAATTAATTACATACAAAATATTTTAAAACGAAAACAAAGAATCGGTTAAAATACTCTTTCAGGTAACAAATTTTGACTGTAGGCATTGAATAAAGACTGGCTTAAAATAGGAATAGAGGAGGAAGGGGCAAGTTATAAGAAGCTGAACAATATTCTTAACCAGATTAAATTTTTCTAACAGATAAAGTCGTCAATCACCATTTATCATTATACATATTAATGCTATTAAACTTCTGTCTTATTGTTGGAATTATGCTTATGATATCAAAAAACTAAATGTTTTCAAAGTTATTCATTCAACAAGAATGTAATTTTTAATAAAGCAGTTACAGAAAGAAAGCAAAAATGTTCAAGAAGTTACATCTATTTGATAACTGCAAAGCAGACAAATCCCTGTATCGATTTTTATTAGTCGCTTATATCATAAACAACGTTATAAATGTAACAATTCTGAATATATTTCCCACCCTTTCAAGTGGATAGCAAATCACCTTTGTAACTTGACATTTGAATGAGGTTTAACCCTTTAAAATCAACATCCCGAAAAACCTCGGGCAAGTTCCATAGAGTTTCATAAAACTCGGTACTTTCGGCCCTTTCCCAAAATTTTTTTTTTTT